AAATAAATAAACAAATTATATACAAAAATAATAAGGAAAACATTTATATTGCACGAATAGAGACAGAACACAAAAGCTTTTACAGTCGACATAGTCGAAAATAGGATTCACTTCTAAATAAATAAAATACAATAAAACATATATATAAACAAATGTGCCGGTATTAAACTGACAATTTGCGAGACAGAAACATTATTAATCTAAGTCGAGGACTAGAGAAGCACTACACAAGTTAAACCAAAATGTTAGTATCTACTTTTCAAGCTTACAAACTATTTGATTTGAGGGGCCGCTAGAATTTTGAAATTGTGGAAATCCCAGCTGAACAAAGTTCGCGAGAGATTGTGGCATACTAGAATCGGATGCCTGGGTGATTGTTATAGTGTTGCCATCCAAGTCCACATGCATGATCTGAGGCTGTTGTTGGGGCTGCGATTGAATTTGCATTTGAGATTGCGTCGGCTGCGATTGGGGTGCTGTTGAGGTTTCTTGCTTAACTTCATAGAGATCCTAGAAAAGAAAACGTTCAAAAATCAATAAAGAACCAAAATAAAGACTTTTGACGATTCCTACCTTGGCCTGATGAGCCGCGTTTGTGGCTTGTGTGGAAGACGCTGCGTTATCGACACGCGTCTTCTTGTGCATCTCACGATGTTTTTCATAATGCTGCTTTGATGCAAAGTTTTTGTTGCAAATCTCACAACTGTGGAGTCGTGTCTCGCTAGGCTGCGTATTGTGAGTCCTGCGGAAAATGTACATAATTTAACTGTTGTGTTTAATTGACAAATCCTTATCATAGTAAAAAGTAATTGTGAATATTAATTATTATTTATATTTAAATTAACAATTGGCATCAAATACACAGAAGAACGAGGATCATTTCTGAGTTATTTATGTTCTAATTTTCAACAAGGTTTTTTCGTTGCAGGTAATATAAAATGTATATGCGAATGGGAATGACAAGGCGCAGTGTTTAGTCGGGAGTGAACGATTTGGAGTTACCCTGTACCGAGCTGTGAGATCGATCACATTTCCTTAGCCCTTGTCTAGAGAAAATCTGTTATCCAAAAGTCTGTATATATGTATATAATACTCTAGAATAACTATTATGTACAAATGTATTAACTAGCAGAAGCAGGCTGGCGATCCCACATAGTATATATAGTCTTGATCACGTAGGCCTGTTAGTCTAACAAAGCTAGATACATGAAGTTTGTAATACATATTTTCGTACCATTTCCAGAACGATAATATCTTTTTTAACTAAAAAGTTACATGATTTGAATACAGCAAACTTGGAGGTATGGGTTCTCGCTTAGCAGCAAATATAATATCGCTTAGTCAACATTATCTGGTGGGATTCTATGACTGGATGTACTTGCCGCTTATGCTTGTTAAGATTGTCCTTGCGCGAGAAGGGCTTCTTGCACTCTTCGCAACTGAACATCTTCTGACCAGAATGGGAGACCAGATGTCGAGACAAGTGCTCTTTTCGGCTAAAAGCCTTGTCGCATCCTTCTTCGGTGCATTTAAATGGACGTAGGCCTTCGTGTAGCTTGACGTGTTGGGTGAGATGCTCCTTCTTCTTAAACTCGCGCCGACAGGTGGGACAGGTAAGTGCATTCGCGGGTGTCGCAGTAGGCGTCTCGGCGACCGAAGTGTTGGCCATCTGTTGCTGTTGCTGCTGCTGTTGATGCTGCTGAGGCTGCGACTGTTTTGCCGTTTGCTGTGCAGGAACAGGCAGAATCTGTTGCTGCGGGCGAGCGGTTTTTGCTTTCTGATTCACCAATTGCTCGGGCGGCTTACGAATGATTTTTCTTTGGTTGAGAATACTAGTGACTTCACTGACTGGCGGCTGAGGCAGCTGTTGCAACGCCAGAGCGGGTGGTGGAGGCGCTGGCTGTGGTTTAGGCACTTGTGCCTGTGCCTGTGCTGTGGCTGTCGGCTTGGCCTCCGGCTTTGGAGGTGCATGTGTAGATATGCGACTTATGGTTATATTCTGTTTATTTAGCAATGGTAATTTGTTGGCCGTCACGGGTTGTTGTTGCTTGGGCAACTTGGTAATGGTCGTATTGGACGAAAGCCGCTGCAAAGCAGCCACATTACTTGGACCGGATGGCTGCTGTTTAACTTGCGCCACACGCTTGCTAAACTCCGTATGGTGTGCATTACTAGAAGTAACGGCAGAAGGAACTGCAACTGAATTTGCAATGGAAGATGGGGGCTTATACTTGATCTGTTGCTGTTGTTGCTGTCGTGGAGATGACATTTTGAAGGTGACAGACGAATCGGCATTGCCGCCCATCGGTGTGCTCGGCTCAGAGCTAACGTTCCGAATCACCAGCTGTGAGTTCATGCCATTTCCATGCGGAGATCTGATGATTTGCTGTGAAGTCACCTGCGCCGTAGCAGGAGGCAGTTGTTGATGTGGTTGATGTTGTTGCTGTTGCTGTTGTTGTTGCTGTGAATGTTGTTGTTGCTGTGAATGCTGTTGTTGCTGTGAATGCTGTTGTTGCTGTGAATGCTGTTGTTGCTGTGAATGCGGTTGTTGTTGATGCGGGTGTTGTTGTTGTTGCGGCTGTGGCACAAGGAACTGATTTTGATGTGTTGTCGCTGATTGAAAGGCCGTCGCATTGCCCAAAGTCTGTGGCGTTAGCTGCAATGTGGCTGGAATGGAAGTTGGAGTCAACTGCATGATGGGCTGACCATCCGCAGTGGCCAATTGTGGTTGTAGCTGCAAATCGAAAGTATTTCGAATACGTTAAATGTGTAAATAATATGAGTAGCCTAATGCAAAGACGTATTAATAGAAAAATTACAGTACATGTTAGCATGGTAAATTCCTAAAAATAATCAAAAGTAACATAAAAATGTACTTTTCCCACCGTTAATCAGAATATTTTGTCTGCTTCAAATAAATCTTTACAAACTACTTTAAACTAAAGTAATAAAAAATAAAAAGAACCATGTTTTAAATAATTGAATACAATAGGAAAAAAATGTACTTTGCGCAAGTAAAGGCATTATTGTATTCTATTGTTATATTTTTTAAACATTCGTTTGAGTTGTATCTTTCACTTGTGTCCGCTTTCCTGACAGCTTAGTTAATTTGATCAAACTAGATACTACTGCCGAGCCTCACCTTCATTTGCACTTGATATGTAGTGGGTAGCACCAGGTTCTTGGTGTCAATATGCGCTACAATCTGCTGATCCGAGTTTTCATCGCGTATGGTAATTGGCAAAAAGCATTTGTTGGGCGAGAGCATATTGCCAGTTCCATTGCCTCCAACCAGCTGAGTACCAGCCAGGGAGAGGAGAGCAGCGGCATTGAGCTGTTGTGTGGGTTGGGCAGCGATGCCGCCCGTTGATGTGTTGCTCGAGCTTGTGCCACCTGGCAGAAGCTGTAACTGAATTTGGGGCTGTGTGCCACCCACACTGCCAAACTGTGGCAAACTCCCAGCAAATTGAGAAGTTCCAGCTGGTGACGATAGCACAAAGTTTAATTTCGGTTTTTTGCTCTCCGTGGAATTCATTCCGTCATCACCACTGTTGGTAAACTGCGACTGCGACTGTAGCTGCTGAATCTGCTGCCAAAGCGCCTGTTGCTGCAATAGCACATTGAGGTCATTGAGCTGCTGCGGCTGCAATTGGATTTGAGCGGCAGGGGCAGGCATAGCTGTTAACGTTTGCGTCTGCAGTTGGACAGGTTGCTGTGCTTGTTGCTGTGGCTGCTGCGATTGTTGTTGCTTCATATTGGATACAGTACTGCCATGCACGGTCTCCTTCTTGCCCAACGGCGTAATCTTAATGTCCGGCTTCAGGCGTATAAACTCCTCCAAAGTACTGATATTCAAATTCACTTTGATTAATTGGTTTGCATGATAACATGAATGTGAAACTTACTTTTGCTTTTCGGACTTGATTTCTGACTGGGATTGAGGATGGTGATGGGGAAGTGACTGGGCCGGAACGTGGCTGTCAACAGTAATGGTGTACTGTTGTTGCTGTTGGGGCTGTTGCTGCTGAACCTGCATGCCAACGGCTTGCATGATGCTGCTGAGTAGGTCGTTCGACTGCTGATTACTGCTACTTGAGACAAGCCCACCAGAAGACGTGTTGAGCACGCTGAGGCTCTTTCCAGTATCATTGATGGCATCTTTGATGAATACTTTGTCATCGCTCTGCAGCGTTCGATGGTTGAGCCAATTGTTGAGTATAGTTTGCGAGTTTCTCGAAATATTGCGAATTTCGTATATTTGGTCCACTTGCTGGGCGCACTGGGCACATACCACCTTGGGCAGCCGATCCTTCTCATCGATCTGTGCGAATGGGTGGTAAATTATGACCAAGATATAGTTGTTATATTTTCAATGCTACTCACTTGCACTGGCAGACATTCAGCGATTTTTTGGCTCAAATTTTTGGCGCGTCCATCGGGCGAGTATATGTTAATTTTCTGTTCACTGCTGGCCGTGCATATGCGGCACAGATCCCAAAAATTGATGCACCGCACATTAGACATTGTTGTGGGTGGACTCAAATGCACACTGGGTACAAGCTTATGCAGTTGGTAAAATATTTATGTGGCGATTCCCGCGTTCGCACTTTGTTTATATACACACAATACACAAACACACACGAACCCTCACAAATATTCAAGGCTGTTGTCTGCTGGCTGCAACAGACAACTTTATGCACTCCCGCGAAAACTAAGATTCCACATTTTAATATTACGCTTGAAGTAGCGTTCTCGTTCTTTTAGATTTTGTTCTTTAATTCAGCTAGAATTGGGCACATTTTCATTTTTATTGCAACTAAAAGTTGTTTTGTATGGGCAGACGCCGCAATAACCTGAACTAATGCTACTAAATAAGCCCAAAAAAAAAATACTAAACAACAAATAAAGGGAACTGCCAACCTGCGATAAAAGCACTATTTTTGTCGATAACTGTCACATGCAGACTTGTAACGCTGTCGCATTTATGTGTATATGTAATTTCCTTGTGTGCGTAATTGCGTGACAGCAAAAGTTCTGGGAAAAAATTGCCATTAATTTACAATTTCAAACGCTAAAAGTTACTAAATGGGTTCCCGCAATGAGTGTCGCATTTATGTTGGCAATTTGCCACCAGACATTCGCACCAAGGACATACAGGACCTTTTCCACAAGTTTGGCAAAGTCACATTTGTCGATTTGAAGAATCGGCGTGGTCCGCCATTTGCATTTGTAGAGTTTGAAGATGCGCGGTGAGTAACGAAACAAACGGCTCGTATATACATATGCATACATCCATATGTACCAGGGGTTAACATAAAATTAATCTTTCATTTCGGCGGCATACAGTGATGCCGATGATGCTGTCAAGGCGCGTGATGGATATGACTATGACGGGTATCGTCTGCGAGTCGAGTTCCCTCGCGGTGGTGGTCCAGGTAGCTACCGCGGCAACAATCGGAACGATCGTAGCCGGGATGGCGGTGGCCGCATGGGTGGCCGAGGACCCCCAGCTAAGCGCTCACAGTACCGTGTCATGGTAACTGGCTTGCCAGGTTCAGGCTCTTGGCAGGACCTGAAGGATCACATGCGTGAGGCCGGAGATGTTTGCTTTGCCGACACCTACAAAGATGGTTCTGGAGTCGTGGAGTTTTTGCGTCACGAGGATATGAAGTACGCCATTAAAAAATTGGACGACTCTCGATTCCGTTCCCATGAGGTGAGTACCACAAATACGAGAGGATGATTTATACTTTGCGAACGGTACCTTACACATGGAATAATTTAAGGGTGAGGTCGCCTACATACGGGTGCGGGAGGACAGCGGAGATAATGACCGTGGTGGTGGTGGCGGTGGCGGCGGCGGCGGTGGTCGTGACTATCGCGATAGGTAAGTTCTAAGCTGTTAAACAAAGATTACCTGTATTCTAAATACGTTGTATTACCGTGAAAATGGTAATTATGACGGTAATCAAAAATGTGGAATCTGAATAAAACCTTTTGTTTTTCGTTAATTTAAATCCCTTTCACAGATCCCGTTCGCGCTCGTTTTCATCACGGCCACGTCGTCGTGGTACACCAACATATTCGCCGGTGCGTCGTCAATCCTATTCCAGGTCACGCTCACGCTCTAATTACTAAATTATACAATCATTATCCATTAATATTAATATTTCTTACGAGCAGGAAAAATTAGGAAAAGCAAGATAACTATCAAAACCTTTACCCCTTACTCCTATACTTACTGTTTATTTAATTATGCTGACTGTCAAACGATTGATCAGATCAATATCAAGAAAAGAAACCCTTTTATCAAGACTGGAGAAATCCAATGCAAATCCCAAATTAATAACACTAACATCAGTAAACAATTGCTTTTCTCTCAGAACAGAAAAATTCTTTTAAATTATTTAATGCATACAAATATACATTTGACAAATTAAGTTTTAACGATAATTATAATTCAAGGAAAGTCTCTTTTTCACACATTCCTTGTTTTAAAATTTGGTTGCATTCATAAAGCAAAATTTATTAGAATTTATCTTATTACCAAACAACAAACAATAAGAAGAACCCACTACTATTCAGAATAAATAATATATAAACAAAATCAAAACACAACCATGTTTATGGAGTACATTTGCATATTATTAATATTTCATTTTATTTTCTTCTCTTCCCCATTTTGCGCGTTTATGTTTGGAGTATAATGAGGATTATTGGAGGAGGAAGGATAAGGATGAGGATGAGGAGGAAGGATAATTTTGATGTTGATGGTGGAGTGAAGTTTGAAGTGGAAAGTGGAAAGGATAAGGATGAATTTGGAGTAAATTAGAGGAGGCAGGCAATTTGGAGAGCGTGTTGTTTATAAAATGATATCAGGAAACAAAAGGATTTGGATATTAGGAATCATAAAAGGATTTGGATATTAGGATTCATAAAAGGATTTGGATATTAGGAATTTTCTTTCACCTTCGCGAAAGAAGATTATAACTCTAGGACAACGTGGGATGCAGTTTCCCCACGACACGAGCTAAAACCACGGAGAACAGCCTCTAACCTCTTTGGTTACTTACTATTTGGAACCCCAGTTAAGAGCTTCGTTACATCCTTTTGGGTTTGTGTTTTAAATTCGGAATAAAGTAATTTTTTGGGTATGAGATAACTTGAAAAATGATGTGGATAACGAACATGACATGTGCACATGGACAGGATATGCAAGGATTTTGGAAACGCATCCCTTCGTGCTTCACTTCAGCATTTGTTTCACATCGGATTAGGAATTTAAATTCGCATTTTGCTACCTTTTGGATAACATTTACTCACCACATTTCGTGGCCTTTTCGACCATATCAATGGAATTTCCGCATCATCCAACGTTGTCTTGCGCCCAACGCTGGATAGTGTGCGGTCCTTAAGATCTTCCTCTATCTTTCCTCTTGGTATGTTCGATACATTCGATTAAGCAACTGTTTTAAGTTTATTTTTCATTTTACGTTTTTTACATAAACCAAATAATTTGAAAATTTAACACATGTCTTAATTCATGTTGCCTATGGCGACTTCCTTAGGCACATGCTGTATATACTAATGCGTACGTATGAATATTATATACAATAATGCCAGAGAACAGTTGCCATATGCCTTTGTGTATTTGTTTGATTTTGTCCAGAAACTCGAGTCCAAACTACAGTGTAAATCTTTTGCATGAGGTTTGCTTCTATGCAAACGTTTATAAATGTATAACTAGTATATATAGTACACACTGAACCTAGCGCAGAGAACCAAGCAAAAACAATGGAAGAACTCAAAATAATTCGAAATAAATGTGTTCTCTTTGCTAATGTTTGTTAAACTAACAATAGATCAAACCTTTCTAGTTTTAAAATCAAATAAGTAAATTGATTATTTTTTGAAAATTAATAAACCATAACACTGGAAATCAATGCTTGTTAATGTTTTTAAATTGTAGTGGGTGGTTTATTAAAAACATTTACTAGACCACGTCATTTAATATAGAAATTATAACCCTTACAAGCCACACAATATTGTTCAGTCTCTGCACTTAAATTTCTTTGGTTTTATTTAAAAATTGTAAACCATAGCTCTGTTTAAACTTAAACAAAATACGATTGCACCTAGTTAAATGGAAGTTACATTTTGGTTTGGCAGCAAGAAGCATTAATTTTATCTTGAATACATCTGCGACTTCGAAATCAGTATATATTCTCTATTGGATTCAAAACATCCAAGACCTTTTGTAGCATAAAGCTAGCATAGGAATGATAGATCGAAAATTAACCTTCTCTGTTTGCAATATAACGGTCAAGTTCGGCATATATATTTGTTGCAGCGTGTTTCGCTTTTTATTTTTAATTTTTATAATAAAAAAATAAATTTTGTTGCATTTGACGTTATCGGTAGCACCGAGGGTTACTCAGTTGGTTGCGTTCGATATTATCGGCCACGCCGATATCTTTTTGTCATATGGTCGGAGTATGCGGGGTGAAGCTGGGCCCACGGCGGAGCCCAAAATTTTGAAGGGTGGCAACGCCAGACATGCGATCCACGGCGCCAAAAGCGACGATTGCTATTGGCCGCCCGGTTCGCTCTTAAAGGGAATACGAGGAGAGTGGATCGCATGCCCTTGGATATGCCCTTGGCCTTCATTTGGGCCGTTGACCCAAAAAAAAAAAATGCAGCTGTGCAGATGAGCAGCAACGGTGCCCGCCTCGCAAATGTATGCGTGTGCCGAAATTCGGCACCGATGGTGTGGCTGCCAAAAATGTCTAGGAGTTCGATTTGTTCAGCGGTTAACGGCGGGCGTGCCAGCTCGAAGTGAGCAAAAAAGTTGGACATTGCATTTCTGCTCGACAGAGTAAAATTTTTTTCCCTTCTGAAAAATTAAGCCGGCACATAATACCAGTGGCTTAACGGACGAATAAAAGTCTTGTTTTTGTGTTCTTTTTTTGCCATTTAATAAAAATATATAAGTCAAACCACTCGAGTCACAAAAAAAATATAATAAAAAAATTAAAAGAGACTTAAAAACTTAAGTGCGACGAGAGAGGACCCAAATAAGCCAAAAATTAACGGCTTCGGCACCAAGGAGACCAGCTCGCGCACCAGAGAGGCCCACGAAATATTCAAGGCCAGGATTCAGTGCAGCGGCGCAAACCAGCCATATCCGCGACGCCGCCAGCAAGCGTCGGCGCAAACGTGAAGGCGACGAGACGAGCCACCAACGACCGGGCTCCAACAACGAAGAAGCGGCCACAGGCGAGACCCCGCCCACATCCACCGAGTGAGTCCGTTCCATTGTTTTGCCCATCCTCGTTCGAGCCCCTGGCAGAGTCAGAAGAAGACTCCTAATTACACTCCCTGAAAAGGAGTAGATTTTTTTTATCGTTAAATTTGGTTAATTTGTATTTATAAAATATATTCATACATACATAGGCACTTACGCCGAGCTTCACTTTAGAGTGCGAACGGTGAGGAAAACTCCAACGGTGATGCATCTGCGCCTGTAAAATATAAAAAATCTAAAAGTTACATTTGCGCGAACTATGCTCACATACTTACCTAATCTGAATTTTACGCATTTATATCGCCCCTTACCACCCCCAGAGAGCTCTTTAGGTAGGGTAAGGTAGAATTAAGCGATTTAATACATACAATACATAATATGTGGCATACCCAGCTTTGAGTAATTGTGTGGGCCATTGTTCCTAAATCGGCGCAACGATTGCCTCTAAATTGCCTCCTTGCGCGTTTCTTTTACGGCGACTCGCAATATCCTTGTAGTGTTTCGTCGCCTGTCCCATTCAGTGTTGTAGAAAAAAAAATTTTAAAAATATTAATTCTATAGGATAAGAGAAAAATTTAGGAATTAAGGCGCTTTGTCAATTAGTATAAATATATGCAGCAGTAATACGCACCTGTGAAGTTAATGAATTATCCGCTTGCATGAGATCCTAAACAGCTGCAAGATAAATGCCATAAGCAATGATTATGATTGTTATACATTTTAAGAAAACGCAACCAATTATACGCACCTATTGAAAGAAATCATGTCCGGCTAAAATAATATTGCTGGGGAGAGTGGGCATTATGGCCGACACGGGCTAATATAGGCCATCTAGTGGCCAAAATGAGGGAGACGACTGGAGGTGATCGTCTCATGGTAGGGCGGGTACGCTGGGTCCGGAACCGGGGCCCGATCTGGAAGAGTAAGGTGGATAAATAGTTTTTTTTTGTTAATTTATATTGAGTGTCTTACCTTTGTTGTTTACATTTTCATAGTTACAGCTGTGTATTTTGTTCATGAGTTAGTGGTTCCGAATATTTGTTATCGATTATGCGGTTCATTTTGAGTAGTGTTGTGTGAGTCTGTTTTGCTACAGACGTGTAGCTTTGTTGTTATCGATTGTGCGGACTGCGGGCCAGGGATGGGACCACACCCAGAGAATCCGATGAGCCAGCCGGCGCGGCCCACTGAGAAACAAGCAGTTCCGTAACAATATGGCGCCCAATTTGAAGAAGCACTCGGCTTCTTTGAAGTCGGTGTGTAATCAAAGAAAAATAAATACGATAAAAATGAAGGTACAGAGGAAAGGACTCCCTTGGCTTCAGGACCCACACCGCTGAAGTCTTATGTGGCACGAGTAGGTAGCTCATAATCGCGCAGCGTGTAGTGGAATCCGAGAAGCACGACGGAAGTAGAGGTTATCTGAATATCCATCCATAAGCATGAGGGGTTTTTTTTGTAGTGGTTGATGGCCGTTCGCATGTTGGCGAAACATTTGCGACTATCCATCGTTCGCCTGGTGGTAGCCGCAACGACAAAGGCATCTCATGGTTAAAAAAATGTGATATTAGGGTAGGTTAGTCAGATGTTATTTATTCAATTAGTTGTTTTTGTCTCATTTTGTGTCAATGTTGGATGTATGCTGGCCGTAGTTATACGAGCTTCGGAGACAGGTGACCCAGGACGATATAGAGCCGAGCCTGCGCCGCATCTGTCACACAGCATATCCCAAGAATGGCCAGAAGAGCGACGGAGACGGATCTTGCCATGGTGTCCATTGACATGGGGTGTTTTCTTGTCGCGGTTGATGACGGTAAGTCACGTTTGCTAGTTGGTGAACGTTCGCGACCGTCAATCGTAGCCTGGTGGTAGCCGCCATGACAAAATAACCTGTGACGAAATGTGATATTAGGGTAGGTCTAACTAGAGTTTGTTTAATGTTTTCTATTTGTTTTGTCCCACTCTGTGTTAACGTTTGGTGTGTGCTGGCCGTAGTTAAATGAGCTTCGGAGGCAGGTGACCCAGGACGATATAGAGCCGATCCTGCGCCGCACCTGTCACACAGCATACTCTAAGGGTGC